ATAGTCTTATGTTTCGGACCAAGAGTGGTATGAAATATTAATCAATTCATTGTCAAAACATTACTTATATTTTTGCTTTTTTCAATTGAGTACATAGTATTTTCATATTGAAAGTGGTCTGGATAACTTTTTTGAAAAAAGGCTAACCCAACCACCACATTTTTCTTTTTTGCAAATGAGGCCAAATATTTTTAGACCAATAACGGTCTGGAAATATTTTCAGTATAGCATAACATAGAAACCAAACTTTTTATTGTTTCTAAATGAGGTCAACCATTTTTGAACCGAAACTAGTTTGAAATTATTTCCGAAAGATGCCAAAACAAACACTATAGTTTTCAATTTTTGCAGTTTAGGCCACTAAATTTCAATTGTTATCGGTTTGAAAATTTTATGTGTATTTTAATTTATTTTGTTATTTAGACCAAGAATAGTCTATAAATTACCATTTCTCAAGGTTCCTTTACTATCATCCAAACCAAAGTTAGTCTGATAATATATCATCCAAACCACTTTTAGTGTGAAAATAAATTCTTTAGACCAATTTTGGTCTAGCTTAAGCAAGTTCTTGGTTGAAAGTTGATCTTTCCAAAGATTCATACAGACCAATTTTGGTTTGAAAATAAATTTTATTTAGACCAATTTTTAGTTGGTCTAAAATTAAAATTTTTTAAATCAAGTTTTTTTAGACTAATTATTCAAATCAATGTCAATCTGAATATCCTTTTTTTAGACCAATTTTCAAATTTTCCAAACCAATTGACTGGTCTGGAATTTTGCTGTTTCCGGTAGTGTTAGGCAAGATCTCAACCATATGAATATTAGCATATATCATAGTCAAGTGAAACCTACAAAAGCCCAGTCGGTCAACATTTTTTGGTGCCATATCGCCAACAATGATTTGCAGCCGCATTGTGTTCAAGATTTGGGAACTCTAGCTAGTACTAATTAATAAAAGCAAGGAACTAGGCTTTCGTATGTCTATAACAAGGCAGAGAGAGGATGCTGCCACATGTTTTGCTTGAAATTGACAAGCTTTTAATGGAGTTAGGAGATCATGTGCCGCTTCTGTTTGTGAAATCAGAATGCATATATAAGTTGACTGGGATGCAAAAATTGAGGCAGCCAATTTAGGCAAAGAATGGTATACATACTTAATGAAAAATGAAATGTCTTGCCATATGCAGTTTGAATCAAGCCCTTTCTCTTGCAGTGGTCCATTTGGTCAAAGAAGCACATTTTCTTGATCCTGACGTCAATTTTCCCTTTCCAAATTTGTAATGGTTATTAAAACCATCATGCCTGTCTTCATGACCAACAGGAAAAAATATCAAGCCTTCGTCTTGTTGATAATTCAAACCTCCTTGACATTCAATAACAATATATGTAAATATAAATTTTTCTTAGGGAAATTAAAATTAATAACTAATTCACTATATATTTTATTTCTCCTTAATATTGTTGGTATATATTATAGAATCATGACAATATCACAAAGGAGAGTTGTCATTTTTTTTTTCTTTATTTTTGGGTTTATATGATGAAGCATATGTCTTGTACCAAGGCACACTATATGCAGTAGTCATACATATTGGGAGGTTCAAAGCCACCCTGCTGTTGTTCTAGGCCCACTCCTGCCCACCCTGCTTTCAGTTGCTCTTTCCTGGGCAAGAAGCTGATGATACCTGTTTCATAGATAGTGTTTTGTATTAGAATTTCTATGCATTTTCGCTTCATTAGTGCTCGTAATGTAGAATAGATAAAGTTCTGGTTCATACTAATCCAATGACAATAAAAGCAAGCAAAACAAGGCAAAATCATACCCAGTTTGCAAAGGGGATTCTTGGTGGACTTGATTATTATTTAGGGAATTCATCAAAGGATGTAAACCCCGCATGCACTCGTTATCAGCTATGATGCTATGATCTCTTGTTCCTTGAATTGGTTGGAAACATTGTACTTCCTCTAGCTGTAAATATCATGGAAGACACAAATCAAGTACTAGTAGCTAATAAAAAATGAAAATTCAAGTAGTATTTCTCTTAAGTGTAAAGTAAGCAGAAAGAAAAGCAATTACCTTACTGAAAAGCTGTCTGTTTTCTTCTTCAAGTTCAAGTTCCTGTTCAGTAGCAAACCAAAATTGTGTTACTTTGCACTCCAAGTTTGAAGTATTTACATATAACATACTGATCAACAGGAATTCTGTGGGATTCTGCCTTAAGATTAAAAGTTTATTGATAAAGTAGTTACAATTTGACCAAACGGGGAATTGTGCCAAGAACTATCTAGAGGTGAGACCATGCCTTCTTTTTATTCTTTTTATTATTATTATTATTATTATTATTATTGAATTTAATGTTGAGGGTTTTCCTAAAATAATTTGTGCATAGTTCGACATTAATCCCTCCTTAATCTAGTCAAACGTCAATTATCTACATCAAAACCAGAACAAAACTAGAAAAATCATGATAAATTACTTCCTTATTGACCTCCTCAAAAATTGAAGCTTATTTAATAAAATGAAAAGTAAATCCTATTATCAATTAAGCCACCACTCTTTAGGTAAAAAGTTATAGATGGTGAGGTATGCATGCTATTGTATTGCAGCAGTTCTTATAAAAAATGCTCTAAGCTTCCTTTAATAGCATATTTAATTACCTTTTTCTGCAATTCTTCTAGTCGGTCTGACAATAGTTGCATCTGCGTTTATAATCACCAAAAATGCTTTATGAATTTGAGAACTTCCCAATATACTTAGGAGTACATACACTTTCAATCAGATTAAGAATTGAATTTTGAGAGAAAGAAGGTTTTGAATTTTCAATCATATTAGTTTTCAGATTTAATTAGCCAGTATTAGCATTGTAAATAGTGCCAATCAAAACAACTATATATAACATTAATAATTCTTCAAATACCTATTCTCCAAATTCAGCGGTAGTACACACCTTTCTTTGTCTAATTTGTGAAATAGTTCTGTCAAGCTGTTTCTCCATTTTTTGCAGCTCTTTTACATCAAGTCCTCCAAGATCTTCTCCAAGAAAATGCCTACGTGTATATATCACGGTGTCAAATTTTAGTATATATATATTGTTTTGGAAAAAGAAGAGGCGAAGTGATTGCGAGAATTATGTGTTATTAAGCCAATATATGGTGATCGAGTTTAGATATAAGGTATATACCTCTGTGAACGCTGGAGAGATTCATGTTTTGCCTTCAGCCTCAACATCTCTTCATATATAGTCTGCTGCTAGGACAAAGAAAAGAAAAATGTATGAAGTTAAATGTATGAAGAATGGTCTTATCTAATAGACCAGTAATCTAACAAAACCCTTTTCGGAAAAAGCATAAACTGATTATATTAATTCAACACTAGATGCACTTTAATTAGATTTTTAACATGATATATAAAAGTAAAATTGCAAAAGCAATCAATTGTAAAATGTTTGATATGTGATCGTTATACAGCTTAGAAGGCAGATAGATTAGTATGTAATATGTAAGAGTAGGAGTACTCTTTTTTTTTTTTTTCTTTTTTTTTTCTGCTTTAAAAAAAATTCAATTGTAAAATGTAAGCATATGTATTTGGCTAACTAGGCCTAGTTTTCAATAATCATGCATCCAAGTATATTGATTCAAAAATCTACCACACTATTAAATTAATACATTTAAATTATACCTGTGTTTCATTCTGAACAATATCTTTGTCTTGTGAGATATAACGATGTTGTCTGTATCGTTCCAAAATCTTATTCACACTAATAAAAAGTAAAAAATTGTGAGATCAACTAATGTGAATTGGATTTTTAGTACTTGCCACATTTTCAAAAAAAAAATTTTCTAATTTTTCTTTATATAGATTCACGCATTAATTCGCGTGTATAACTATCAAATTTGATAACAAAGGCTTCGCTAGCTAGCTGTGGCTGATATAACAAAGGCTTGCTAGATAGCTTTTTGATTGATGCCTTGTACAAAGCTGTCAAATAAAGCATGAATATATACAAAAATAAAATAAAATAAATCTCCATTAAAATGTTAAAAAAAAAATCTAAACTGATCAGTAAATTAGATCAATGAATTGACCATTAATTCTCTTTAAATATGAAGATAACGAAGGAGAAAAAAAAAAGAGAAAAAAAAAATCACAATCAGCAGCTTGATTGAGAAAGTTCTACAAGAAGAAAAAGCTTATAATTTCTAAAGAATCAAAATCCCAAGAAAGAAATCAAGAATTTCTTCTTCTTTTTACCAGAAAACAGCGACCTAATTAAGAAACCCTAAATTTTCATGGAACTCACAAATTCTTGTAAAATAAAACATAAAAAAAAGAAGGAAAGAAAAAAGAGGAAGACATTGAATGAAAGAATCAAAGGAAACCTTAATTTTCATAAAAAAATCGTCTAAAACCGACCTGACACAAACCTTGTCAACTCCATCAGCAGACAGATCAAAGATCAGTAAAAGAGACAAGGACCAGAAAACGTGTCGGGATCCCATTGGGTCTCAGCTTTAGTTCTGCAGTTTTTGCTCCTCGCTCTTTGGATATATATATATATACAAGAAACAAAACAACAACCTCACGCCCCTAGGTTTTTCCCTTTTTCTTTTTTATAAAAATAAAACACAACCTACAGCAATCGGAAAATCAGAAATTGTCTTGTCTCAGATCATGTGTTTTTATTACAGATTTAGTTCCATCGGTTCCTTTTTGACGGTGATTGTAGTACTTCAATTCTAGATTTTAACACGAAAAAATGAAAAAATATGGAGAAACACAAACACAAAAGATAAAAGAGGGATGGAAGAGTAGATACTGAAGAGAAAGAGAGGGATTCATACTCGGTGCTACCAAATTCGAAGAGTTTCCCTCGGCTGGAGAAGATGATGAGGGCAACTTCAGCATCGCAGAGAACCGAGAGTTCATAGCCTTTCTTGAGAAGACCATTTCTTCGTTTAGAGAAGGTTGCCTGGCGATTGATCTTGTTTTCTATCCTCTCCAGAACAACCTTACCTCTTCCCATGATCAATGTCTAATTGCTTTGTGTACAAAGAGGAGAGGAGAGGAAATCTATGATGTATCTTGTTTTTCCCCTTTCTAATATTCTTGGCTTAGCTAGCTAGGGTATACTTATAATAGTGGCAGGTGAAACAATTTATTTAGTGCACGTGGATTTAGAAATTAATAGTAATACTCATTTATCTTAAAATAATTGTTATTCTTTTTTATAAAAAAAAAAAAATTGGAACAATTTATGTTATATTACCTTTTAAGGAATTATGTACTTCGTCTGTTTTAAAATAATAATAATAATTTTTTATTTTGTAAGAGTAAAGATTTGAAAAAAATTTATATGTACTTAAATTACCCTTAAAATACAAAAAAGATTAAAAAAACATTTTATGATAAGATGATTAATTTTTGATGAGAATAAGATGATTAATTAAAGTAAATAAATAATGATAAATTTTAAGTAAGAAAAAATATTTGTCTATCTTAAAAATAAAAAAATAATTAATTAATTTAGGATAAATTTAAACTAAAAAATAATTATTTTGAAACGGATAGAGTAAAAAGAAAAAGAAAAATTTTCTGATAAACTAGACAATTAATTTAATGGATAATAATAGGGTTAAAAAAATATATTTGTCTCCTTAAATAATACAACGTGACAATTAATTTGTAACCAATTTTAAATAAAAAAAATCATTTTGGAAATAAGTAAATAATTTTTAAACTTTCAATGGAGTTCCTTCTTCTTCTTTTTTGTAATATTGAAAAGTTAGATACTTAGCAGCACATAGGTTTAAATCTCTCATGTTAATTCTAAATTAAGACTTTTTAAATTAGTGGATACTAATCTGTCCAAATTTTTATTAGTAGTGGAGTTCCTTCTGGGTAATGATTCTGCTAATTACCAACATTCAATATTTGCATGCATAATAGTTAATGCGTCTCACCAAATAGAAAAGTCAATCTCCAATTCTAAAATGATCTCTTCTCATATTTATTAATAGAGAAAATACAAACAATATGTTGATTTGAGTTGAAGGAGATTGAGACCTTTTAAATAAGGTTTTAAGTTCAAATTTAGTGAATGGACAAACAGGTATTAAGAGAGTTTTTCCCTTATGTGTCCGACGCAATTCTACTTTGAATTAGTCGAAATCCAATATGACTTTTTGATGTCTAGAGATTTAGTATAAAAAAAATTAATACAAAAAATAAAATTTACTCTTATATTAACAGAGTGGAAAATGATTGGTACATTTCAACACACATTTCAACATTTGCCCAATTCAGCTACTAAAATATAATATATGTACAATTGATTTAACTAGCTTTTACATTTTGTCTACACGATTGTATTTTTAAGTTTATTTGCCTTTAATTTCATATTAAAAAATAATAATTTTTTAATAAATGTATTGTATAATATATTGAATAAGAAGTTATACTAATTATGTTCAAATGGCGTATAAAATATAATCTAGTAACTAAGTATAATAGAAAATGATTGGTATATCATCTAGTTCAACATATCTATCGACACTAATTGATTCAACCATTAAATTTTACATATGAAATTTTTTCTATCTTGAATTTAAATTTGAAAATAATAAGTTTTTAATAAGTGTGTTGTAAAATGTGTTAAATCTAAAGGTGTACCAATAATTGTCCAAATACAATACATGTACAACTCACAAAACCATAAACTTAATAATCACAATAGACTGTAGTAGAAATCACAATATAAAGCACAAATCAAGCAAGAACCATCATGAGCAATCCGGTAAGACTTCCACATCACTAGCTAAAACACCATTGCCACCAACCAAAAGAAACACCACACACAACTTAGTATATAGCAATGGTGAAGCTAGGATTTGATATGGGGGAGAATTGCAATACTACAAAAGAGAGAATAGGTGCAAATAAGAATGTCAACTTTGCATTTTTTTTTATTTAAAGATGTTAACTTTGTCAATTTTTAAATAAAGATGTCACTTTTCAACTTTTTTTTATTTAAAGATGTTGACTTTCAATTTTTTCTATTTAAGGATATCAACTTTTAACATTCAAATTAAAAAATCCGTTCACCAAGTTAGCATTATCATCCAGTTAATCCTTAAATAGAAACAATTTGAAAGTTGGTACCCTTGAATAAAAAAAGTTAAAAGTTGATATCCTTAAATAAAAAAAATTGAAAGTTGACATTCTTAAATAGAAAAAATTGAAAATTAGCTTCTTTATTTAGAAATTAGAAAAATTAGAAAAATTAACATCCTTAACTAAAAAAAAAAAAAAGTATAAAGTTAACATCTTTATTTACACATTTTCTCCTATGAAAGAAAATTAAATAACTAAACTCTAGAGATTTGATTTGCTGACGCCAAAGAAGATGGATTTCACTAGAATTATGATTTGTAAACGAAACTAAGACTTGTCACATCTATGAAAACATGAGTCATTTGCTTTAGATATATAGAAGTTACTTAATATTTTATGTCCTTACTTGTATCCAAATTTTAGTATTAAACAAGATCACTATTATAAAATATTAATATATACCAACTAATTAAACTAGTTGGTGTATAGATGTAGACATTTTTTTTTATCTGAAATTAAAGATAAATAGATTTAAAAATGCAGTTATGCATATAAAATGCAAAAACTGATTAAATCAATTATACTTATATTATATTTTAATAGTAAATTGAGCAAGTGTCAAAAGAGGTGTTGGATTAAAGAATGTGCTAATTATTTTCCTACAAAATATTTATATATACCAACTAATTAAACTATGATGTTCTACAAAATTAATTAGCATACCAATTAATTCTTAGTCATTTGTATGGTGGAAGCCTTAGTGGGAGGACAAAGCAACCCATATAACATCATGAGAGACATTCCATATAAACATGGTTATTCTTATAAATAAAAGTTATATCTAATTAGAGTAGGTAGTTACCACGCAATATTTATCATCAATTTCACTATAACCGAAAAAGTATATATTTATTTAAAATAATAGTTAAAAAATTAGAAAAAAAATGTCTTTCTATTTTATTATAAATTAAATTTGTATTATAAAAAATTAATATAATGGGTACTCACCTTTACATTAGAAGAAGGGAACTTAACCTTCCTCAATGCAGAAGACTGGGAAGAGGCAACAATCCCCAAAACTTTACATAGTAGAAGTATAGTTCCCTTTAATCCATCCAAAGGTTTTTGACTACACTAATTCTACTAAATTGTTCTCATCCCATGATAGTTTCCCAAATATTAAAGTACCAAATGGACCATGCAATTGTTAAAATAGTACGCAACCAACAGTTTCTTGCTTTCTTATTAAATATTATAAAAAAAATTGAAAGATCAAACATATAATCAAAAAATTAAAAAAAAAAAAAAAAAAACAACTTCCACAAGATCGACTATGTGTAAATACTACATATGCTAGTTGACTTCAAAGCAGCATTCAAGTAGAAATATCTTTTATCAGAGTACATATTTTGTTATAGATAATTAATTGTTCTTGACTTTGTTTACATAAGTATTTAAAGTTGAAACTATTAAATATTAACGCCCAGGAAATTTGAATTTTCAAGTGCAAGTTAAGAAAGTAGATGTAGTAGAACGCTAGAGAGGAGTCAAGAGAATCACAGAGAAGTAGAGCTGTCAGGCAATAAGGAATGATGGACTTTGAGAAGAGTTCATAGATCGAATTTTGAACTTGTTACGATTGTGGTTTTGCTTTTTTTTTTTTTTTTTTTTAAATCATAATTTCATAAATTTCACTTAAATAATTAATTTCAAGCCATAATTCAATTTTTCCATGTTACCCAATTTTATTAATAGCTAATGAATATATATTCTAACAATTTTTCGAATAATTATAATATATATTTAAAAATCTAGGGCTTTATTTATAACTTTTTAAAAGTTTTGGTGGTATTTAACTTTTTTCTTTTTCAAAAGCTCAGACCACAACCACCGAATCAGTTATCTTCATGCACAAGGATACTAGGTTACCGGCATCACAAGCCTCCTCTATATGACTCCGGTATTGTGCTTAAGTAAATACATTGTAACTCAATTATTTTCCTTTTTGATAGTGAAAGCATATCTTAGCTTTTTATAATTATGTTTGAATACATCTTTACACAAATACAGAATCGTGAATTTGAATAAAATAATAAAAAATTATTTCAAAATTGATAAAATTATCAAATCTAGAATTAAGTTTAATGGTAAAATTTATATACTCTAGAAACAAGAAGTTTGGAAATTTGAAAACAACTTTTTCATTAAAAGAATTAAAATATTTTTTTAAAAAATATTGTTTTTGGCTCAACTTCAGCTTTTACAATTGAAAAAATCTTCCCAAAACTTTAGTCAATCACTTACTAGATCCTTTGTTGTAATTTCATTTAGAGTTGCTTGGTGAAGCTTCTTGGAGTTTTTATTTTATTTTTTATACTGTTTATAAGTAATAAGTTTAAATTTTTATTAGATGAAAAATTTAAAAATTACTTTTAAAAATAGAAAGAAGTGAGTAAGAAATGAGTAAAAAGTGAGTAAAAAAAATTTATAAAAAATAAAAGTTTGAAACTTTTAAAAATTTAATATTTAAAGTTTTTTTAATGTAAAAAAATAAAAATATAAGTTTTTTTTTAAAAAAATTTTAATTTGTGAAATATAAATAATATTAAAAAGCTGAAACTTTTACAAATTTTACCAAATATGCTCTTAACAAAAGAGCAATGGTGGAAATAGGACCAAATTGTGGGTGTAGGGCCTCTTTTGCCTTCGTGGTACAATTTGTGCCTTTGTTTCCACTAGTACCCAATTTGTGGTAGTGCACAAGAGGGGATAAAAATCATAAATCCGGAACAAAAGTTATATAAAATCGAATAAAGATGGGAAGAGGCATAATTGGAAGTTATATAAATTCTATAGGCATATAAAATTGGATGGGGGAAGGTTGAAGAAAATTGAGAGCTTACAGTGATTTTGGGTTTATAAACCATATCTAATGTTTCTAGTCATAATAAATGTTGTGCCATCCAAAATCTGGGGCTTTTTCTCGTGGCCATTGTTGAGCAGATTT